AGCTTGCCTCAGCTTGAATAAACTTTAGACAGGCTTCTTCCTGACTCTAAGTCTCTGACCTCTCTTCTATTCTAGCATTTTCTTTAGAAAACTTACCATTGTAAATTCTTTCCCTGCCCCTTTGAGATCTGAATCTTTTATGAAGACTCTTGCTGGTTTTTAAGGACTATTCTTTGGAATGTAAACATCCAAGAAGACAGCATTACCTCTTTCCTACTTTTTGTAGGAAGCAGGAGCCTAACTTCAGATGGCACATTCCTCCAAGTTGTGAAACTCCCCCGTCATGAAGATATGAGAAGTATGTTGGTGAACACAGACCTCCCTGGGTTCTCCAGGGCTTTCCCTCTAGCTTTAAAATCCCATCACACTTTGTTTCCATAGAGTCAAGCTCAGACCTCTCTCCTCTGTTGCAATAGCCTGTAATAAAGTCTTCCTTGCCTGTTTAACTTTGTTCAGGGCAGTATGTGCTTTGACATTTTATTTTGCTCAACTTTTTTTTTCTCTTTTACCAAATAGAATTCTAAATGTCAATTGTAAATGTTCTGGTCCATCTAAGATAATGGCTTCTCTATATGGGCAAGAACTCAATTTTCAAGACTATATAATAAAACTTCAAGACCTTGAGGGTTTCTACTGGCTAAAGTAAGCTGGCCACTGAGATTATCAGCTTTTTCAGACAACTTTTGTGCCTTAAAAAGATAGTAATATCAGGTCTTTGGTGCCGAACTACTCAGTCAGAGTTGGATGAGGATCTGACCATCTGTGCTAGTCCCGTGAGTACAAATTCCAAGATCTTAAGAAATTTCTATAAAGCCAGATTGACATTTTCAACTCCAGAAGGATGATTTGAGCTTTTAAGTCACATGAGCTTTACGACACATTGTCTACTGTGAGTTCTTTTTTCACTATTTGCTCTTTCTTTTTAATACTTACTATGTTATTTGGAAACAGAACATTCGAAAAGGTATAAACATAATGTGTTGAATACTATAAACTCAACATCCAGGCTAAGAATTTCAACATTGCCAACACAACCAAAGTACCCTTGTGTACTTCACGGTCTCCCCTGGAAGGTGACTTACCCCTAGGTTTCCTTACGGTAAATGCCATCCCCATCACCCACATGCAGCAACATGCCAAGCCTGCCCCTTAGACACCAGGCTTGACACGCAGGCTCTTCACACATTGGTAATACCGTGTTTTAAGGGACAGGGCTTTTGGTGGTCTCTCAACGTGAGTCTAGGTGACCCTGATAAGGGAGTCAAGCCACGTGCCAACAGTACATGGACAGCCCCTCCAGTAGGGAAAGCGACCCAAGTCCTCACACTTCTTCGTTCCTTTGCACAGGACTTTGTGTTCCCTTTTTTGAGTTTTGGATACAGTCATGCACCAATGATAAACTGTGTATATGAAGGTGGTCCCACAAGATTATAAGAGCACACATTTACCATACCTTTTTTTGTTTAGGTCTGCATAGATACACAAATATTTGCCATTGCGTGCCAGTTGTCTACAGTGCTCTATGTTTAGATCTGTGTAGGTACACAAATACCATTGTGTTACAGTTGCCTACAGCATTCAGTTCAGTAACACTTGCTGTGCAGGTTTATGGCCCAGGAGAAACAGGCCATGCATACCATTCAGCCTCAGTGTGTAGTGGGCTCTACAATCTGGGTTTGTGTCAGTGTACTCTATAATGTTCACACAATGAAATGAAATCGCCTAGTGACACGTTTCTCGGAACATATCCTTGTCATTAAGCAGCATGTGACTGTCCACCCTTATCGTCACTTTTTTATAGTACACGGTGATTTTCAGCTAACATTTGCATCTGCCCCGTATGTGTTGAGGGCCTTGAGAGGAGGAGTTTCGCTTTCCTGTCCCCTTCTCCTGATTCACAGTGGATGCCAAACTGAGGAAGCACAAGCTTTTAAATACTTTGAAGTACAATATCAGAACGATGCTCAGAAACACCGTAGAGTATTGATCTGCTTGAAAGTTCTTGTATGAAAATAATGATACATCAGACGAGATTCTGTTTTCTCTCAAGGAAGTCAATTGGCCTGAAAATACTTGCATTTAATTTTTTTATACGTTCTGCCTTACTATACCCCCATCTCTGCATCCTTCCGAGAAGGAAACCAAGAGAAAATATCGGGGATGCCAAAAAGTGCATACACATTTTAAGAGCTGTTGCCTATGTGTCACTTTTAGTTCACTGTCATCAGAAGTGCCTGGACGCCGATGGTAACCACTTTGAGCAGCTTCTGTAATTGCAGAAGTCAAACCTGACTGGGATTCATCTTGTCATCGGAATATATTGAGGGTTACAGTTTTAACCCAGTTTTTTCCTTTCTTAAAATGTGTATCTATTTTTTTATACCCTCTGCATTTTCCTTGCACCCTTCACCTCTCTCCTCACCTCTTGTGCTCCTAGTCCTCTCAGTCTGAAATAACGGCTCTGCCAACTATAACAAATACAAATACTTTGTTCTGAAGATTTATGCCCAAACAGCCTCAGGAAAGTGTTGTTTATCAGTGGTAAATCAAAATCACCCTGAAGGTACAATAATGGAGCAAACCAGGATACATCTACACAAAATCAAAATATGCACAATATTTTAAGCTTGCAAAAGCATGAGAAAATTAGTACGGTTAATGTTAAGAGAAACAGGTCTGCAAAATTATCAGACAGTAGAATCCCAATTAGTGGAAATACATGCACAGAAAACGTTTTGGAAGAAAATTAACCAAATAGCTAGCAGTGGTTATTTCTGAGTGGTGGAAGTATACATGGTTTGTACTGTTCTGAGTTTTCTTTGTTTTTGCTCTATTTATCATTTCTAAAAGTAAAATTCAAGATAAAATATCATATCAAGTAAAAAAAAAAAAATAGTGATTTATGTTTCCAGAACAAGAAAGACCAGACTCTTCCCAGGGGAAATATTAAAAGTATGTAGTGTGAGAAGGGTAAGAGTCTCACTCTGTTCCCAGGCTGGAGGGCAATGGCAAAATCATGGCTCACCACAGCCTCGGCCTCCAGGGTTCAGGAGATCCTTCTGCCTCAGTCTCTCCATTATCTGGGACTACAGGCATGTGCCATTGCACCTGGATAATTTTTTTATTTTCTTTCATAGAAATGAGGCCTTGCTTTGTTGCCTAGGCTGGTCTCAAACTCTTGAGCTCTAGCAATCCTCTCACTTAGGCCTCCCAAAGTGCTTGCATTACAGGTGTGAGCCACCACACCTAGTCTCTCTCTCTCTCTCTCTCTCTCTCTCTCTTTCTGTATTCACTTCCAATCCTGTGAAGAGTCAGTATCTTTAGCAACTTCCTGGTTCTTTTTCTAGAGAATCAATGACTTTAAGCACCAAACATAAAAATCTAAGGCAAAAGCCTGGGAGTAAAAACAACCTTTTTATAACCTGTAATTTATCTTCCTTCCTGCCTTTTTTCTCTAAAATATGCACACAGCTTGCATGAAGGAGCACTTTTCAGTAAAATGCAGAACTATTGAACGGAGACACAGTGCTATTCAAAATGTCGTCTTAGTCGGGCAACTTCATCAGTCCTGGGAGCTTGTCTAGGTACACATCTCAAGCCCAGTCAAACTTAGAGTACCAGAACCCAGGAGGTAGGGACCAGGAATCTGTGTTTTAACAAGTTCCCAAAAATATTCTTTTGCATATTAATTTTGAAAAGAGCATCTAAGATTTAGGTGATCTAAATTTCAATTCACCTTAACTCTTAAAAAACAAGACAGGAAGCTGGGTGTGGTGGCGCACACCTATAATCTTAGCACTTTGGGAGGATGGCGTGGGAGGATTACTTGAGCCCAGGAGTTTGAGACCAGCCTGGGTAATGTAGTGAGAACCCATCTCTCCAAAAGTGTTTTAAAAAGGTAGCCAGGCATGGTGGTTCACACCTGACTAGGAGTCTGGGGTGGGAGGATGACTTGAGTCCAGAAGGCTGAGGCTGAGTGAGCTATGATCACACTATGGCACTTCATCCTGGGCAGAAGAGCAAGACTCCATCAGAAAGAAAGAAAGAGAGAGAGAGAGAGAGAGAGAGAAAGAGAGGAAAGAAGAAAGGTAAAAAAGGGGGAAAAAAGAAAGGTAAAAAGGGGAAGAAGAAGAGAATGCCCAAAGCTAATAAGTGTCAGGGTTTCTATGCCTACCTCAAGAGAAAAGTTTATTTTCCAATTCAAGTAAATGGCTCTAAATGTATATTTTTTCTTTTACAAAATCATAACGCCAAATGTGTTCTCTAACTCTACCTTGTACTATGACTTCCTTGGCAACATAAGGTATAGAGAGCAGTTCAGGTCACACAGATGAACACACACACACCACATCGTCATCACTTTCTGGACAAGTTTTAAACTCTCTGAGATTCAGTATTCTCATTTTTAAAATGAAATTATAAGAGAACCTACCTCAGGATTATTGTAAGATTTAGAAAATTCGTGCAAGTAAAATGCTTTGCACTTTATTAAGTATTAAGGTTGGGCTAGGTTTTGTTTTTCTCCACTTCTCTTCATTTATCAAACATGAGTGACTCAGACCAATTTCTTTTTAATCACAGCGTCGTCAGACAATATTTGAAGACAGAGAAAAGTCAGCCTCTTTAACATATCTTTGCTATTTAAAGCAAAAAAGAATGTAAAGATAAACAGCTATTCTATCTAAAACTGAAGAAAAAAGCTAGTTATGACTTCGTTCAAGAAGCAAATAAAACCAGCATAAACAATGAATCCAAAATCTTGGACTCTAAGTGAGATTGAAGGCAATTTCAGTAAGTATATCCCATGCTTACTCTGGGACTCTATAATGCTACACAATTCCTGTTTTACTCTCTGTTTATCTATCTATCTCTCTATCTCCCTCTATCCCTCTATCCCTCTGTCCCTCTATCTATCCATTCATCCATCTATCTAATCTATCTACCTATCTATCCTCTGTCTATCTTCTATCTAACAAGGTTAAGACAGAAAAGGAACTTACCCACTAAATTCTCTTTGTCCTGCTTCTCAGGCGAAGGAACCCCAGAATCCATCTCATTCTTGGGAAGCTTCTATACTTGGCAAATTTTCATGAGGTCAGAGCCAAGCCTGGGCTCTTGGCAGCAGCTCAGATGTGCCTGGGAGAGGCAAGAGGAGAAAGTATCAGAAATGAGCAAAGTTCCTTCTCTCTAGCGAACCCTCTAAGGAGTTGTCACCCTGGTAAAGGAAGCCTAACAACATAAACAAAAGATTTCTTCCACGGGTTCAGGCTGTCTCTGTTTATAGGGAAAATCAGAAAGAATGTGACCTTCTCCAGGTGGCGTTGTTTCATGTACAATATCACTGTGTCATTTCTATATCATTTCTGCTTTATAAGCCACTAATATGCGCCTTGTATCATTTGTTCACTACAAGAATTTGACACATAAGGCAAGTATATACATGCTTATGTTTCACATTGGAAAGTCTATTCTACCCACTGCAGTGAGTGATCTTTTGAAACTCAAATCTGATCATGTCACCATCCTGCTTAAAATAATCCAAGACTGCCCACTGTTAGTTTGTTAGAACTAAAATCTTGTGTCTACAAGACACTACTGGTCTGCTCCTACCACCTTTGCCAGCCTCACTCACTCGACACTCCCTTCTCTCTGCAGCCCCATTGATCTTCTATCTATCCTTCTAAAGCTTCGTGTTTCTTCTTGCCACAGGGCCTTTGCATATGTTATATTCATCATTACTTGACTTGTGTTTCTTCTTTTAGACCAGAGATTGGTAAACTACAGCTTGCCAGCCAAATTTAGTCGATCGCCTTAAAAAAAAAAAGTTTACTGGAACCCAGCCGTGCCTTTTTGCATCTGTATGGTCTACGGCAGCTTTTGCACTGCACCTGCTGAGTTGAGTAGTTGTGACAGACCATACAAGCTGCCAAGCCTAAAACAATTCGCTATTTCTTCCTTTACAAAAAAGTTTGCCGACTCCTGCCCTGCACTATAAATTCTCATGCGTGGAGTGACTTGGTCTGATATTTATCATTTCATCCGAAGCATTTAGATTGATGTATGTGCATGGTTGATGTTTAGCAGACACTTATTGAATGAATGCGTAAGTGATTTACCAGTGATAACAGCTCACAAATGGCAATGCTCTTTCTAGAATCCAGATTGTGGGGCTCTTGTATTGGGTTTCCTTTTTCCATCATCCCACCTGGAACCAAGGACAACTTTGAACATATCCCAATACTGAAAACATCAACTTTCTGATTCTCATGTCAATATCCCAAATAATATTTAGTTTTATTTTGTGTACTATTGTGTTTGTTGTATTGTATTTATTGCACTGTATTGTATTATTTTGTGAAAACAAAACAATATACAAACCTCTCATCCTTCCCTGGTCATCTTGTCTTTTCTAGTTTAGCTTCTTCCAACCACTTTGTTCTTTTCTTTTGAGCAACTTAATCTTAAACATTTCCCAGATTGTGAGTGACTGTTGCCTACTGCTTAATGATCTTAATTTCCTGCCCCATACTCAGATGGCAGTAACAACCGTAGCATCCACCCACAGTTTAAAATCACAAGACTTAATACAGAATATCAGAAGTCTAGGAAAGGAGAACAGAAACACAGATTTAAACAAACATGCATTTTACACACACACACAAACACATACACACAGTGTCTGTCTGTTCTAGAATACGCTCTGCACTTGTTAATACATCCTTGATTATGTCTCGATGTCAAAATAATGCCAGAGGCACTGAGGGTAAGTGAACAGGCTCTGGGTTCACACTGCCTGGATATAAAGAATCCCTTTCTCGGTCATAAACCAGCATGTGATGCTGAGTAAGCTACTTAACCTTGTTGTGGTTTGTTTTTCTCATCTGTAGGATGGGGATGATATTTGTGTGAGAATCCTATGAAATAGTATGTGCAAAATTCTCAGAATAATGACTGACATTGATAAATGGTAAGTATTATTGCCACGAGTGGGAGTTGAGCTTTATTTCTGAGGACTCAGTCAACTTCTCTGTGAAATGGGAATATTGGGCCCATTTTCACAATGTCTAACCCTTTCCCCCCGGTTTCAAGGGAAAGGAAGATCGACCAGGGATTGATTTGGTGTGTCATCACATTCATCAGCTTTCTTCCCTCCCTGGTTTACTGCTACGCTTGTTTGCTACACATTTGAAAGCTTGAGGCCCATTCCTGGTTCTGTATTGTTGAGATGGAAATTCCATCCTGTTTCTTCCTGGCCTCTACTTTATCGCTGCATCATCATCCATTTGTGACTAACCTCATGGAGGGAACAACAGAAAAACCTCTTGCTTTCAACATTCCTCATGGCCAGGTCATAGACCATCTTTGCCCAGAAGGCCCTTTCTCTTTGAATTGGATGCTCTCCCAGGCTGTGGCAAAGCATCTTGGAGGTGCTAGTTTAGCTTATTTCTAGATACGTTTCCCCTAGTGTCAGCCAAACACCACTTGTGCTAGCACTGCCATTCACTGAAGTGCAAAGTTCAAAACAACAAAAACAATAATTGTTCTCTGGGGCTACCGAAGAGAGTCTCAGGGGTGCTTGCTACAAGCCCATCCCCTTGGAAGATGACTAAGCAACTATTTTTCTTTTTGTTACAGAATGTTCCAAAGACTCTCAGCCTAGAAAGCAAGAAAGGTTTCCATAAGCAGTGAGTACCTGGGACAAGCTGAATCCATGTAGCCCAGCCTCTGGAAAGAAACATGAGCCCATTTTCAAGTTTCCTCCTTCCTTGTCCATAAAATATAAACGGCTGGGCTCAGATGATTGAATTCTTATCAGCTGTGGGCCACGGTAGTGAATTTTCTCCTCTTTATCACGGGGAAGGGAGGATGGGGAGTTTCTGGAAGATGTTCCCTGTGAAGATTCTTCTGTTTCAACACTTTATCAATTCTTGCTCTAGTAAAAGTCCGGAAATGAAGACAACTATGTTTCTAAAGAGTTGATTCTATTTCCACTCTTGACATACAGGACACCCGCCCCTAAGTACATATATTTGCTCTTCCCTGAATGTTCATCTTAGAGCACAAATCCTCTCTTGAGACAACTTATTCTAGCCCTTGCCCTTTGTCCTTTCCTAAATTTCTGGTTTCAGAACACTCCTCAGTCAGCCATCACCCACCATCCTTTCTTGTTAAGATGTATCTATGTATCCCAGAACATTTGCCACTCCCTTAGAAAAAGGTTCCTCTTCTTTAAATAAAGAAGTTCTCTGGTTCCATTAACTTTTTGCCAATATACGTCATAGATTCTAACTTATTCTCCTCTGTCCAATTCTTGAATTCTTACATTTCCAGATTTACAAAGATATTTAGAGTGATAACTCCCCAAACTACAACTCCGGCTTAGACCTCTCTCTAGAATGATAAGTATTTTCAACTATCACCTGACTTAGTAGCTGTACCTGATGTCTCCCCGATTAAATAGTCTATACATTAAAAAAGCAATCTATGGAATAAAGGCATTTTTATTATGGGCATTGTGTTGCTATGTTTGGAATAACATATACACTGTAGGTATGTAGACATCCTGTATGTGTGCATTTATTGAATTGGATGAACCACCATGGACACACTATCCAGCATCGCAACTAGGATGTTACCTACCTTTGAAGCGATTGAGTATTCCTCTCCAGGTCTCACCTCTACCTCTCATAACCACAGTCCATCATTTTGTTGTGTATTCTCTTGCTTTTAACCCTTTCCCTGTTTAACCAGAGTATACTCGCAGCAGGACTTGAGGCTACAGTGTTCACCCCGAGAATTAAAAAAAAGGAATAACAAAATATAATAATTTTTTTTTTAGTAATTCTCAGGATTAGAGACAAGTTCCGGTGAGAAATAACACCAATAATAGTTTTTATATTTTGTTTTCACATTGAAAACCAGTCAGATTTGTTACAGCCTCCAAGAGTGTGTTTATGTAAAATTGCTCCTTGTCAATATTGCTCTAGTCTCTGTTTTTCCTGATTCAGACCTGCCGTCTCCCCTCCCGCCACACCTAGTCAACCCCGATGTGTGGAAAATTCCACCCCGGTCATAGCCCAACACCACACCCCGATTCGCATAGTTTTAAAAAACCCCTCTCACTTCCCTTCTAGACCCCAGTTCCCCATTTCAGCCACACACCGTAAGGGCCTTAAACCCATCATCACTTGCTTGCTTTCTCAGGGCCTCCTCATACCTGTTAACTCTCCATGTAACACCCCCATCCTTTCCGGTCCGTAAGCCCTCTGGGGACTACCTCTTGGTCCAGGATCTCCGTCTCATTAATGAGGCGGTGGTCCCTCTCCACCCAGTGGTTCTTTTTTTTTTGAGTTGGAGTCTCACTCTGTCGCCAGACTGGAGTGCAGTGGC